TGTTTACGGAATTGAATTTTTTTTCACCTTATTTCTTTCCACTGTCATTTTTACATGTGTTAATAACTTTGTAATAACTCTTTCTTACTAAAAGTACCTTTTAACTGCTAAAAGGAAGTGTTTTCATTTTTGTGGGGTTTTGTTTTGTTTTTAGCATTTTAGTCAATCCACATTTTCAGTACTATTTCCCTCTCCATATTCACTTTGCGTTGAATTAGTTTTTTCAGGAACTTAATCCACCCAAAATTTCATCTCACTGGAATTTATGGTGGAATTCATTCACTACATGACATGACAAAAAAAAAAGGTAGGGAATTGAATGCTGACTTTCACTTGAGCCCCCCTTTTCCTGTACTTGACCTAAAGCAGTCTGAGAATCATTCCACTGATTCTGACAGTTATGTATCCCATCCTGTATGTGTATTTAGATGGCCAAGGGTTTTACTCTACTGGGCTTTGGGAACTATTTGTTCATATTTATCAGTACAAATCAGACAGCTTTGTAAAATTGATATGTTTAAATTCTGTCTCTTTAAAGAAAGTTATAGTCCTTACAACTGTAGAATGAGTCTGGACAAGTTACATGGTGACTCAAGATTTAAGTCTCATTTTAATTATCATTCTTGGAACAAAGCAAGCAAACACACACTCACACACCCAAGTCCTTGGCCTTGAGATTCTTCTAATATCATACAAAGAAATGCACACAAATGTAGGATAAATCTAAAACAAGGTAAAGATCATTTAATCAAATCATGAGTTAAGTCTTACTTATCACCTCTAAAGTGACAAAGCCAGGAGAATACAGGAGCTATTCTCTAGATGCCTACAGTTTATTTACTTTTTTTCTTTGCTTATGGACCAAGACAGGAAGTGATCCTGTACAAATTCGCTCATCTGGATAATTTGCAGGCCAATAAAAGGACCATGCTCTGTCCCATCTCACACCTTTGAAGCTATTGTTGTTCAATAGTTTCAATGAACAATGCTGTTCAACCAGCATTAACTGATATTTCCATCATATCACATAATTACCATTTCTTTTTCATTATGGGAACATTTCAAATGTACTCTCAGCAACTTTCAAGTGTGTAGCACAGTTTTGTGAGCCACAGTCATCATGCTGTACATTATATCTCCAGAACTTATTCGGTTTTTTTTAAGTTTATTTATTCATTTTGAGAGAGAGAGTGAGTGAGCAAGCACGAGTGGGGGAGCGACAGAGAGAGAGGAAGAGAGAGAATCCCAAGCAGGCTCTGTGCTGTTCACATGCACCCAACATGGGGCCCAACCTCACTAACCATGACATCATGCCCTGAGCTGAAATCAAGAGTCAGTCACTTAACTGTTGAGCCACCCTAGTGCCACTGTAATATATGAATTTTAAAGAGCATTTAAACTCAGTAGGTTTGGCCTGGGTTTTAAAGGAGCAAATGAATAAGAGTGCAAGAGGGGCTGGGGAAGCAGAGTATCTCTCAATGACTACATACCACACCAGAAACTGTGAGGAAGGGGAGAGAAGGCAACTGACTAGGATGAACTTGAGTATTTCCAATCTTCATTAGAAATGGCAGAGATGGGCACCTGGCTGGCTCAGTTGGTTAAGCATCCAAGTTTGGCCCAGGTCATGATCTTACAGTTTGTGAGTTCGAGCCCCACATTGGGCTCTGTGCTGACAGCTCAGAATCTGGAGCCTGCTTCAGATTCTGTGTCTCCCTCTCTCTCTGCCCGTCCCCCACTCACACTCTGTCTCTCTTCCTCTCTCTCTCAAAAATAAATAAACATTAAAAATTTTGAAAAGAAATGGCAGAGATGATAGTGGGGAGGTGAGGAGAAAACCTTGCCAGATCACTTCAACATTAAAATGATATTTTGAGGGACGCCTGGGTGGCTCAGTCAGTTAAACGTCCGGCTTTGACTCAGGTCATGATCTCACGGTCCTTGAGTTCGAGCCCCACGTCCGGCTCTGTGCTGACAGCTCGGAGCCTGGAGCCTGCTTCGGATTCTGTGTCTCCCTCTCTCTCTGCCCCTCCCCTGCTCATACTTTGTCTTTCTCTCTCTTAAAAGTAAATAAACATTAAGAAAAAAAATTTTTATAAAAAAAATGATATTTTGAAATCTGGATTAGGGCCCCTGTGGGTTCCTCAACAAAAGTGAAAACAGTATGTAGCTCTATGTGCAGAGGTTTTAGATTCTTAATTGGATTTTTATCTTGAAATGAAATTCTTTATTGTAGTTTAAATATATAGGAATAAGAGACACAGATCATATTTCTAAGAGCACTTCTATTTGGAATAATCATCATCTATAGTTTGATTTTTAAAAATTTTTAGATTCCAACTGGTAATTCATGTTCCCTGAACAGTTTTCATTGATATGTTAGCAGCCATTTATATTTTTAAAAAATCAAATCTGTTGATATAAAATGAAAGTGTTTTCATTATTTTTTTATGTTAACCACTTACACAAGGGAGCATAATTTAAGAACACAGAGATTAAATAGGAAGGAAATATATTAAATGAGTCATGTTAACCAAGTCCTGGGTGTTCTCCATGGGCTGTGGAGTCAAATCTTGATAAGTTTCACATAGGCCAAGAATTAGTGAAAACAAATCTAAATGACACAAAGGTGACAAGATGGGAAAAGTAATGCCTCCTGTTTGTTAATACAGCTTTGCCTAACACAGAAGATTGAGTATGTGCTAGGTAATTACGCATTTGAATCTCCCAGAAAATCAGGTCTTCACAGAAGAAAGCTGTTTCTGTTAGCAAATAAGAATTAACAAAAATGATAATAGCAATCAATCAGAGTAGCATCCTAGTACAGAACATTACAGAAACATGGAAACAGCTTAACCAAGACATACATAAAGAAATGCCAACAAAGGAAATGCATTGCAGATCACACTGAGAAACAAAACCCAATAAAGGGGGAGGCCCATCTTTGCAAGAACACAGATTTAAGCTCTGAATTATTCAGAAAAATATAATTAGTGGCTTTTGAAAACGCAGTTTAGAGACCCACTGTAATAGACTTTAATACATACTTGCTACTGGGGTGTTTCCTCTTCTTGAGGGCAAAGACCAGTCTTCTACCTGTTTTAGAGTAACTTGTTCTACAAATGTTGTGCAAGACGAGCAGACATTTTTAATAAATCTTAACTTGATGAATGAGGCATGTCTTGCAATACGAATAGTACGTGACGCTGAACATCACATGACCACACCTGAGCCAATGGTTCTTGAAGTTCGCTTTGTTATCAAGTGCTTTGTATTATAAGCATGTTTCCGGAATGAATTATGCTCACAAACCAATGTTTTATTGTATTCAGAGTTTTCCGGTTTGTGATTTTTGGTCAATAATAAATATTTTTTTTTTTTTTTAAATTTTTTTTTCAACGTTTATTTATTTTATTTTTGGGACAGAGAGAGACAGAGCATGAACGGGGGAGGGGCAGAGAGAGAGGGAGACACAGAATCGGAAACAGGCTCCAGGCTCTGAGCCATCAGCCCAGAGCCCGACGCGGGGCTCGAACTCCCGGACCGCGAGATCGTGACCTGGCTGAAGTCGGACGCTTAACCGACTGCACCACCCAGGCGCCCCAATAATAAATATTTTTATCTAAACGTTGGATTTTTTCCTATGAAGACAAGAGAATGATGTCTGATGTCACCAGAGTATTTTAACTGTGTAATAAATGAACTGTTGTTAAGATAAAGAATAGCATGGTGATGATTACAATTAATGAAGTTTATGAAGTAACAAATTTAAAAATTAAAGAATCAAAATAGCCTCTATATTTAGAATAAGCCCTTACAGAACTTCTACATTTATTCCTGTGCTGCTTCTCAGGATATGTTTCTTGCTCCTATTCAGAGAAAAACGTCTCTAAGTGCTTCTTTATGAAGGAATCTCAGTATGCTGATATAACAGTGAGAAGTGAAATACTGATTCAGGGTTTACTGATGGATGAAATTCATTTAGAACGGACATATTAATAGAAGCAGAATAGTTATGGGTATAGGAGACATAGCTGTCCACATGAGCTATGATGCAGAAGGTATTGCTTTGGGCATGGGTTCACATGAACTCCTTTGAGGGCCACGTTTATTGTTTCAGTTGCCCGTTGGTGAGAGCCTGCCGTCACTGCCCTCTGCTCCTTGTCTTTTGGATAGCATGCTGACCTGACTGATGACTTCATATCAAGCCCTCATTCTTGGAATGTTCTGTAGAGTGACCATGTTTGGAATCCCAATAGCACAGTGCAGCACAGTGTTATTTCCTAGTTCATGGTTTTGCTGGCGCCCAAAAGACAGAGTCGTTATTTCAAGGACACGTTTGCTGATTTAGGTGGCAGTGGCTTCCACTAAGATGCTATCACCTCTGAACAAGGACACATTTATTCCACCATCAGAGCTGTCCATCACGAACCGAGTCTAAAGATAGCTTTCACTGATGAGCCTCTGTAACCTTTGGTCTTTTTCACATCGCACTGGCTAAAAACTCTAACAACTATAGCTCCTTACATTAGGAGGTTAAGAGTTCCAATTAAGTCTTCTGTTACCAGTACATTTAAAAGCCTATCATTTGGATGTCTTCCTTTTTCTTTCCTGTGACTTCTCTAGAGAGAAAAATAAAAGGAAATAGTATGACCCACAAACATTTATGGATTATGGGGACATGATGTTTTATGCTAGTTTTATTCTTGGGGCACCTGGGTGGCTCGGTCGGTTAAGCGTCCGACTTCGGCTCAGGTCATGATCTCATGGTGCGTGGGCTTGAACCCTGCCTCGGGCTCTGTGCTGACAGCTCAGAGCCTGGAGCCTGCTTCTTATTCTGTGTCTCCCTCTCTCTCTGCCCCTTCTGCTGCTCGCACTCTTTGTCTCTCAAAAATAAGTAAACATTAAAAGAATTATAGTAGTTTTATTCTTATCAAGTGTAAAAGTAGGGAGTTGAGCCCCTGCCGATGCTAAGTCTGTTTGCTGCTTTGTATTTCTAGATGACCAAGAATGGCACAGTGGAATCTGAAGAAGCTAGCACTCTTACAGTGGATGACATTTCTGATGATGATATTGATTTAGACAACACGGAGGTAGATGAGTACTTCTTTCTACAACCCCTGCCAACAAAAAAACGGAGAGCACTGCTGCGGGCCTCTGGGGTGAAAAAGATTGATGTGGAAGAAAAGCATGAGCTGCGCGCCATCCGTCTATCGAGGGAGGACTGTGGCTGTGACTGCCGAGTGTTCTGTGATCCAGAAACGTGTACCTGCAGCCTGGCAGGCATTAAGTGCCAGGTAAGGACTTGGATTTCAAGGACTCCAAAGATGGGACATTATTCACCACCCCCAATGTGACAGACAATGAAGTTTCTCACATATAGAAAAAAACTTTGCGACAAGGCAAGACATATGGTTCAAGGGAGAAAAACTAATTCAGGGACATTTATGGGTATACCTAAGATGCTGACACGTATAAAATACAATGTGAGATCGACCGTAGCTAAGTCGATCAGAATTATTTCCTCCTGGATTCATTTATTGCACTAAGCTTATTGTGGGTTTTCACAAGCACTCAGATCGTGACATGTCTGACATTTGAGTTTGTATTTTCTGATCCAACTATGGGGTATCAAATGGTGGTAGGTGAGAGGTGGCATATATTGGTGGAAAAATTACAAGACTGGGACTTAAGAAAACAGAGTTCTACTCCTGGCTCTGCTTTTTGCCAGCTTTGTGAAATGCCAAGTCAGGTAAACTTTCTGGGCTTGGTTTCCTCGTCTCAAGTGAAAAGACTGGACTAGATCAGAGTTTGGCAAACTATAGTTCACAGGCCAAATCGGGCCTGCCACACCTGTTTGTATAAGTAACATTTTAGTGAAGCCTGGTCACTTTGTGTTTCTTTGTTTGTTTTGGTGTTGTCCATGACTGTTTTCATGTTTTTACAGCAACAGTGAATAGTTGCCAGAGACACTTTATGGCCCACAAAGCCTAAGATAATTTATTCTCGCCCTTTATTAAAAAGGGGGAAGAGAAAGAAAGAAAGAGGGAGAGAGAGAGAAAGAAAGAGAAGAAAGAAAGAAGAAAGGAAGGAAGGAAAGGAAAGAAAGAGAAAGAAAAGAATGGAAGGAAGGGGGAAAGAATGGGAGAGAGAGGAAGGGAAGGAGGAAAGAAGGAAGGAAAGAGACAAGAAAGGAAAAAAGGAAAGGAAGAAAGGAGGGAAAGAGGAAGGGAAGGGAGGGAAGGAAGGAAAGGAAAGGAGAGGAGAGGAAAGGAAAGGAAAAGGGAAAGGAAAGGAAAGAAAAAAGAAAAGAAAAGAAGAGAAAAGAAAAGAAAAGATGCAAAAGAAGACTTTACCAACCCCTGGACTAGATTCTCAAGTTCCCATACATCTATACCATTGATGCCCCATGATTAGTTAGTTGTCTTTATTTTACAAGGAAACTTGGCTTTTTTGATAAGAACAGCCACTCTGGCAGGCAAAAAGAGAGGATAGTCGTCATCAGCTCAACAGTTGCTTAAGGTGGATTAATAGAAAAGAAATTCATGAGTAAGAAAAAGCTATAGAATCTGGCTCTGACCTCTGCCTCTAGTTTTTACTGAATCCAGGATGACTGCTGGAGCCTGCCTTGTCCTCTGTAGTAAAGGAGATTCCCTGCCCCTGGAGAAGGGGCAAGCAGGGCAAATTCTTCTGGGTGCCTGTGCTCTGATATGCATATAGGTTAATTGGTAATATCTTGGGAGTGCCCTTGGATTGCTGATAACTCCGCCTATCACGTGACTGAGGAGTTCGGTCCAGTGACGCTCACTGAACGCAAACACTTAGGCGGCAGAGTCCAGTGTCTCTCATTCTGGGATATTGATTACATGAATATCCCTTTCCCTCAAGAAGCTTATAGTCTACTGGAGTGGGGAGGTGTGGGGGAAATACAGGACCTAAATGCATGGGTCCACTAGTCACAGTCATAAATGTGCGTGACTGTCACAGCCCTGCAGTACACATTCGTGCCCCATGTACCAAGGATCCAAACAAATGAGAAGAAAAACCAATGAGAACGAATTATCAGCCTGCGTGATACTAAGTGGTGTCAATCTGGACACCGCAGGCAAAAGAGTTCATTTTATAATAAGCAAAAGGGGGGGGGGG